AAAATGCACTTAAAATTTGCCAGTCATCAAATGTAGGCGGATGATCTCCAGATATATCTAAGTCGGCACCCTCTCACCTCTTCACTCGATACAAAAAATTAATGAAGATTGATAGCGTAAACAACTGGCAGCGACTTTAGCTTACCATTAAACCAAACAAATCACACGTGCATGGTTATCAGCTCAAAAGCACTATGAAAAATCTCTTCTTCTCCTTTGCTAATATAAATGACAGTATTTTACTTGGTGTTCCTAATCAAGAACCTAGGTGCTAGTTTGCGACACACCTCAGCTGGAACTCGCACGTAATTCACTGCCGTAAAGTTTTTTTTCAATGCACTCACTGAAAGCCTGCGAGCACTTTTAACCAGGTAGCACACGTATGAGACTCTCGATCAAATCAACTTATCATCCACATTCGACTATATGCGAATTTCTTCGGACAACATGAGCAAATTACAAGTAAACTTCAGTACCTTTGAAGCGCATGCGTACGTTTTATTTTTATCTAAGAAAATTACGCGACCATTTAATCCGAATTTTTTGACAGAATTCGTATGCTTACTCTAGACAAAAGACGGTACTCCACTCTTTACTTCTTCTTATATAAGTTTTAACCGGTTTCATGAACCGCCTCATAAGTAATTTCCAAATCCTGAAACTAAATCGAGCTATTGTGAACAGCCCTGCTTGTGTCCACGTAACAAACACGAACTCATTTAGTAAATTCACTTCACAATTACAGCTATCCGAGCCTGGAATAAATTACCAGCGGACTAAAACATTTAAATACTTTCGGCAATCAAAGGGAATTAACCAATGGGTAAGGAATAAGACATATAAGACGGTTAACGTTTTCTTCAATCTCCAGACTTTTCTCCACTTCCAAGCGCCCGGCCACCGCCCCGTTAAAAACACCTTCTTATTTCCCCTCTTTATTCTCAATATTCTACCCATACCTCATTGCTTCTATCTTCTCTTCCATCCCCTGATCACACCTAAATTATTAGCATTATTATTTTTCTGTGTACCCGTCATGGAAATTGTTTTAATAAAATATACCAAGTGATTAGTGACGTTCCAGATTAAAATATTACTGTTAGCGTATCTTTGTACCAATCAGCACGGAATATTCCACTACAAATATTGCATAAAACAAAATTGATGTCAAGATACCCGACTCTTTGTATTGGTTCCTTAATACTCAGCAGTATTGGTGTTTTAAATTACTGTTGTATTAGCTTATAGTGTATTGGTGCTTCTCTGGGGTAAAATTTTGTATATTTATGTATAGTGCTACTGTAAACTAAACGTAGCTTTCTGTAACGTTCCTCAAAATACATTTTTTCGCCTACTTCTCTTCGTCGTCTTTCTCTTCGCTTTTTTCTCTTCGCCTCTGCCTCAAAACTTTATCATATATTACTTTCTGAACCCTTCCCTGTACGTTTCTTTTCTTTCTCTTTTACGAAAACTTCCCTTTCACTTACTCCAGTATAAACATACTCAGTTCTATAATGTTCGCCTAAGCCGCCATCCTGATGAGGTTTTTCTGGTTTACTCAATCGCTTAAGGGCGTATTGCCGGTATGCGTCCTTAATTTGTCTCCCAGACGTAAATGTACAGCTGTCTCCCATCTTAAAATGTTACTATACTAAAATGTATGTAATTCAGTGCGTTAGGCGGAAGAGCAGGCCTATGACCTGAGCACTCGCCATTAATAAGCCATAATTAATTTTATTATTATTATTAAATATATTATTATTATTATTATATTGTCTTACATTATTCACAGTATCTACTGGTCGGTATGTCAACACACACAGGTATGAATGACAGTGCTTTGTTGGTGTGTTGCTTTACTGAAGGTTCAATGGCATCTGCACAATACGGCAGTTATTCAAATACTGTCTTTTGCATATTATATATACATTCCTGGTATCCAAGTGAAGACACTCCACATGCCCAAGTGTCCCAGGTTTCGGGATCACTCCCGTAGACTGATAATTATTATAGCCACAGTCGTCACTTTACTGAAGTTCACTGGTGCGACTTCATAGGCGAGGATTTGGTATATACTTTTCTGATCTTCTCTTGATATTTTCGCCGAATCGTGTTTGTGGGTATTGGTATTCATATACGAAAAGGAAAACCTGCTGTTGTTTCTATCAATGTACGTTATATCGGTCTATTCGCCCCGACATGGTCTGTCAGGGATAATGGAACGATGCCCAAAGTAGAGTGTGTGCTCACTACTTTCAAGCACATTCTGAGGCACATATTATAATACGCACGCATGGCGAGTAGCCCGTTCTCAACGCCAATAATTGGTGTACCTGCTTCGCCACTTCCATCATGCCTCTTTTGTATTCCCTGTGCGTGGCTGCTACATCACTGTCACGTGTTGGATAGTTTCGCTTGCAGCCTCACATCTTCTACGACGAGTCGGAATGAATGGTAGAATCTCTCAGAATGTGTTTTCTGTAGTTCAATGTTGGTACCACTTTCCTGGATAGCTATCATGAAGGCTTCTGTCTCCGGAAGAGAGCCCCGTGCTGGAGCCATGCGTGCGACGCAGAGATGTCGACTTCTTGGTTTACTCAGCTCGTGAGGGTACTTCCATGCAGTGCCTTTGCTTTCCATAAGGTTATCTTCTCTTCCGTTTCAATGATTGGTTGAACAGGCGGATCAAGCTTTTTCAAGTTCAGAGGACTAATATTATCAACTGCGCTCACTGTTGCTGAACTCTCCCACAATGTTCCAAGAAGTATCTTCTGAGTGAAGCAATTTGGGAGCGGTGTAGATTTATGAGATCTTAAATACCCGCCTCCTTGCGACCTTGAAGGGTAAAACGCTCAGTACTTGAATGGGGATGATGTTTTGGTGTTGAGTCATAGCGGTTCGAATTGTTCTCTGCGAGTTGTCGAGGTCGGTATTGCCCCATTTATAATAGCGCCAAAGGATATGTCAGCACTGGAATAACAAATGAATTGATGCCTGCACAAGGTTTCTAGCAGAAGTTGAGTTTTTAAGAGCCCATGCAATCGTTTACACACTTCATTGTTAGATATTCTTATAAACAGTGTGTTTGATTCGGAGAGTGACTGTTGGAAACCCAAGTATTTGTAAGTTTCATGGGGTCCATGAAGGTAATCTTTGGTTCATTATCAGTTTCAATTTATAACTTGCATATGACGCGAATGATATTCCACTCTCCTGCACTTATCCAAACCGATTTCATCTTAATGTCGTCAGTAGAACTTCTCCGTCACGTTTATTAGTTGCCGCATATGACTCTCAGTGTCTGCATAGAGCTTCAGGTCATCCATGTTAAGGAGATGTGAGACACGAAGAAGAGTTGAGTTCCCTTTTTAAGAGCGATTCCATAATTAGATGAATTAAGTAGAGTAGAGAGGGGATTCAAGGCTAAACAGAACATAAAGGGCTTAAAGAGTCACCCTGGAAAATCTCGGCGGATGTGTATAGTATCTGTGTGGACGGATTGTTTTCCATTAGAGAGATACAATTTGGTATTCCATCGACTCATCGCAGTTTTCAGGAAGTTTTGGATAAACGGGTGGACCTTGTATACATCCAAACATTGAAGGAGCCAAGAATGGGGCACGGTGTCGAATGCTTTCATACTATATATATATATATATATATATATATTTGAAACGGCTTTAATTTCTCAATTTTTCCGTTTCCTAATAGCAGTTTCGAAATATTACTTTTAAAATTTTATAGAAGAGTAAAATTTCGTCATGTATGGAAATTTTCTTGTAAAATATGGAGCCGTTTTTAAGAAGAAATCATTTAAGCTCTAGTGTTAATACAAACTTGAAGTTATTTTTCACAGGAATCTTTTGTGTTTCCGAAAACATCATTTGAAGAATTTTCACACACAAATGCACAAAGTATACAAATCGCTGGAAATATCCATGTTAATTGCGTGAAAGACATTAAAAGAAAATACATTTCTGTAATTTTTGAAAAATTAAAAGAATAAAGCAAAATTAGCTGTAAAATGTGTATAATGAATGTTCTCTAATTGCCGGTCTATTCCATTATATAAATCTTTATACTAATCATTATATTATTTATAAATCAAGGCGGTCAAGAAATCAAGTACGTGCTAATTCTAGGTGTAGTTTTTGCGTAATATGCGCTACGAAATTTTTTGTCAAAATCCGCTAATATTTTTCTTTAAATTTTCTCCACATATGTAATAAGGGACGCGAAAACATATAATGCTTGTTCCCATTTCGGGTATTGCTCGTTTGTTTCGAAAATTGCGAAAGAAATTCAAAACTACAAAATTGAAGATAGAGAGTTTTGCCTCAGATAAAGTCAGTTGTGGAAAATTACCTTTTTAAAAACGATCATGTATATTTTTTTGTAAAAGTTAGTAGTTTTCGCGTAATTTCTGTTTGAAATTAATAAAGCGTATATGGGCATCTCGTCATACTTAATGATAACATTGTAATATTGCGAGAAAGTATGTGCTGCTGTAGCACCACTAGTTTTCTCGCTCGACTGGGAATATGGAGTGTGCATGATTACACTTGTACACAGTAACTCCCCATCCTCCAGTTTTAACATATGTTCAGAAAGTAACGATTGGAATGCTTTAACAAATGTAATTGTGTATTTGGTTATCCTATTTCTGTTGCACAGTACCCAAGTTGTCTGTAAAGCACGTACAACGCTTTAACATGCTTACTTGTGGTTCCGAAAAAGAGTCCTGAAATTATTTTTGTAATTGTATATATCTAAACATTGTAGTGAAAATCGCAATCACTCCTATCAATACTTTTTTAGCACTTGCTAATATTTTCTTAATACTAGGGGTTTGGTAGTTTGATGAAAATAAATTTGTATCTCAACAATTGTATTGTAATTATTGATATTTCAAGAAAATCGAAAATATTTTACGACAAAGTCTAACTGCAAATGTTCCTACCTTGAACGGCTTGTTTGGGTCTTGATCTAATCCTTTCACTATGTAATTTCTTTCTTCAAGAGATATTCGAGGATGTAACAAAGGAGATTCATGAGCTAAAAGTGCCCATGGTATGAAAAATAGTACTCCCGTTGCACCGGAGCAGAACGATACCACTTCCCAGCCATAACGAGATAGCAATCCGGCTAATATCATTCCACAAACACTACCCGAGTGTAGGGCTGAAAGAAACACAAAGGTTCTTTCTATTTCACAAAAAATAATCAAATTAACTTAATATATTAAAATCATTAAATGATTTAGTACTTACATGTATACACAAAACCTCCAAATTTTCGTCGTTCTTTAATTGGGTACCAACGAGAATACAAGACTTGTGATGAAGGAAGTATAAGACCCTGAAATATAAGTTCTTATTCCTCTACTCGTATTTCAGTTGGACATTTTAAATAATTAAATTAGCACCTTTCAGTTTATTTGGTTTCTCGCATATTGACAATGAAATCGTAAATTTTGCATATGCCTACATTTCTTAGTAAGACTAATACAACTTCAATTTAAAACTTTGTGAAGTTGCGGTAAGTCAATGGAACTCAAGGGTAGTTCCCAGGTGGGCCATAGCCAATACACAAAATTTAATAAAGATATATATTTTCTGAAATTTGAAAACAAAATGTTTCCGGATACCACATATTTCGTAAGTTATTTCAACGGCATAAACAGTTAAAATATATTACAACTTGTTTATAAAACGTAATATTCTAAACGATAACCCGGAACGTATAATAGAACTATTGCTACTTTCAACAATTTAAAACTAAAATCATTAGAGGTTTGAAGCAAATATTACTCAGTTGTTCAGGATATATTGTTCTAAGAATCCCGGAAATATTTTGTTTAAATCTGTAAACCCTGGTTAGAAAACCTGTTTATGTCATATCACCAAGTTCTACTATCAAAGTGAGATTCTTATATTTTATTGCATCAAAACAATTAATAATTTCTTGCTTCCAAACGTAGGAAATTAAATTATATGTGTAGTGCAGCCTCAATCCACGTTTTGTTCTTTCACTATACTGATTTTGACTTTCTCGCCCTTACGAATGTAAGAAGAGAAAGTATTGTAATGGTGCGCCGCGTATCAGCGAATTTTCGAAAGCCGAGAAAAATGCTTCTTGTCAGCCCCTGGAAAAGAAAACGTAAATAAATCCTATTCCTTATAGTAAATTATTTCCTCTAACACATCCAACCCAGAATCCATGTTGTAGGGGTCCTTGATACCGAAAAATCGATTGGCAACAGAAACAGTTTGTCTGTGAACAACTCTAGCGGCCAGACCATTCCGCCGATTCTCCCCAAAACATATGTTTCCCTATCGATCTGAAAGAACTTGAGCTTTGGGGCTTTCAAACCGATATTTTGATTTTTCAGAGTACATTTTCAAAAAGTCTCAACATATTTCCAAAATTTTCTCAAAAATTACTCCACATTTTTTTGCTTAAAATTTGTTTTCGGATGACGTAAATGCGCGTTCTTGTGTTTGCTAATATCCTGTTTTTTCCAAAATTACAAAAGTGCAATTTTTTGGGTGTGTCTTCCTACAACTACAATATAGTAGATAAAGATAGTTTTCTTAATGAAATCTGCTCTCTAAACACAAATTTTGAAATAAGGTCACGTTCAATTTTTAGAAAATATGAGAAGTTTTCGTGAAATTGTGCGAGAAATATATTGTTAGAAATATATTAAACAATTTCTTCCAAAAATTGCTCCAAATTTTTCCTTTAAATTTTCGCCACGTGCGTTTCGAGAGACGGTAAAAAATATAGTGCTGGTCCCATAATTGACAAAGTCTCCGTATTAACATTTTCCGTTCCAAAAATTAACATTTCAAAACAATAAAATTGGAGATTGAGAGTTTGGCCTTAAACAAAGTGCGTTTGTAAAAACAGCTCTTTAAAAGAGGTCGAGTACAATTTCTTGAAAGAAAAAGTAATAGTATTGGCTTAATTGAAGCTAGAAGTTAATGCTATTTATAGAAATAAAATATGTTCTCGAAATATGCTCCAAATTTTTACTTTCTCTCCCCCAAGAAGGACCTCCCTAGAAGAACAAGTTAAGCAATGCTGTGGGAAACTAGTGGAGCTACAGCAGCACTGACTTTCTCGCAAAATTACAATGTTATCATGTCTTGTGGGACGGGACGTCCACATACGCTTCATCACCTTCAAACAGAAAGTACGCAAAACTACTAACTTTTACAAAAATGTGTACATGGCCTTTTTTAAAGAGATGATTTTGTACAACGGACACTTTCTGATGCACTAATTTATGTAAGTTTAGCAGTTTAATATATTAATTATCTTAATGTTAGCAATTTTGAATTTAAAATGAGCTTAAACCAAAAATGGAACTACCACCATAGTTTACATACAAGAGGAAAATTTTAAAAAAATATTTGGAGCGGTTTTTGAGAAAAAAATCGTAAATTTCACGCGCAAAGTACGCTAAACGAATACATTTTTCAAAAATTTGAGCACGATCTTCTTTAAAGAGTTAATTTTGTACAACGTACTTAGGCTGAGGCAAAAATCATAACCTTTAATTTTGTAGTTTTAATTTTTTGTTTTCCAAATTTTCGAAAATTCGGGTAAGTAACGCAAAAAATACCTGCACCATTCACTTGAACGTCTTTTGCCCTATTCTACAGCAATATTTAATAAGATCAATTGGAGCAATTTTTTTTAAAATATTGAAAATGTATGGGGACCTTTATGTAAAGTACCCCTCTTAAATTAAAATATTAATTTCAAATTTCTGGGACCGCGAAATCAGACAAAACAATTCAGAAATATAAATTTTGGAGACTGATCGACTGAACATGCTAGCATTGTGTTTAGACGGACAGACAGACGATTTTTTGCCGTCAAACGATTTTTCGGTATGAATGACGCACAAAACTTGAATTCTGTCAAAACGACGTGTTAGAGGAATTGTTTCTATATTTAGCAACTGTACTCATCCCTATTTTCATTGTCAGTGCCCGGCAATAAGACGTATTGTGTCGAAAGTTCGTCGTTTTCCGGCGCACGATTACAATACTTTCCCTTCTTACGCTAGTAAATGCGAAAAAGTAAAATTGGAAAATTTTCGCCAGAACTAACGAACATACTACATTTAACTTTTATTTTCCTGTACTTGGTTTAAGGCTACGTCAATGTATAAAATGGCGGTAATAAATTAACATAATACTACATATCGTAGAATATTAGTAATTTAATTAGGTTAGTAACATTAGAGGTATTTATCAACTGTGTATAATGTAGGGGTCCTAATGGACGACTCGGGCCCTTGTGGGGTATACTGAGGCTTATAAATACCATTAAATACCAGGAATTACCACCATTAAATATCAGAAAAAGCCCTCCTCTAATGGGGAACCTTTGTAGTAAGGGTGAGTCATCAAGTCCCTTCCCAAACCTCCTCGTGGTGGCCCTGGATGCTCTGCTTGGTGAGAACCTACAGAGAAACGAAAAGGGTGGGACGAAAGGCGAGTTTACGGCGCCTTAAAACGGGAACCATGAGCTAAGGGAAGGAAAACCCTGGAGGAGAGGGACCTCCGTAGGTGTGGTGGAACCAACCTTCCTAAGGGATGACAACTCTGAAAAACAAAACATCTACCTCCAGGATTAACCATGGGGGTTGGACGC